CGTGATTCTGGCTCCTTCTTACCAGAGCTGTAGCTGTCTGTGGAGGACTGGGAGATGGAGCGGGACAGGGAGCGACGGCCTGCCTTGGTGGGGAACCTGCTGAACTCCTGCTTGTCCTCCACAAACTGGATTTGCTAAAAAAAAGGGAAAAAAAAGAAAAAAAGGAGGGCAGACAATGTAAGCCCCACACACACACACACACACACACACACACACACACACGCAGTTTAATGTCTTGTGATAATTTTCTTGTGGCTCAGCTAAATGTTAATTTCTTACAGTCCTTCAGGAGCCAGAGTAGAGCTGTTTTTGTCTTTCTTGTATAGTATAATGACTTTAATAGATTTGAATGGAGCAGAATCCAAGAAAATTACTGGCAATATAAAAATCCCCCTCAAATTTGTGAGCTCATTTCAGTTTATTACCAAAAATGGATGTCTGGCTATAGCCCAGCAGACACTGCATCATCAAGACTGATGTTCCAAAATTAAGCTGCTCAAGCCATATTTTGATTTCAATGACCCCATCTGACTCGTGCTTGTGTAACGATTGTTACTATCGACTCTCGGCTTTTCTGACGTCGAAAAATTCCCTGTCGTGTTATTTGATCCCCTGCAGGGGCGTACACATGGCAGGAAAAAATAAAAAAATTAATCACCTTATATGACCTTTTAAAACATAAACAAAGCTCTCCAGCTCCGGTTCCAGCGCAGTGTGTTAAGCCAAACGTGACATTTTGCTCACATTGTTGTGGTATTTAAGCAACTGACGTGAAATGAGTGCAAGCCTGAATTGTACCTACTGATTACTTTTCAGAACTATGAAACAGTCCTACTCCCTGTGTGTGCTGCAGGCTCTCATCTTGGGGGGGGTTTTTTTGGCCTCCAATAAAATGGCCTCTGCACGATAAGGGTTTAACCTTGCCCCTTTAAAGCAAACGGTACACAATTCTGCGAGATGAAGAAACCGGACTGGTATTTTTGTTGTGTGTAACTAACTTCATGCCTGGACAGTTTGGGGTATTTTTGGCTTTATTTATTTTTTATTTTTTTTGCAGCAACAAGAAAACGTATGTTGACAGGGATTTTCCACTCTCAAGGTGCTCCAATGCAAACAGAGGACAGGGAGATTGCCCCACCTCAGCAGTTTCTGGAATGTGTTGGAGTATCAGACCCAAGTATCCAAGTATCAGATTTAAAGATCACCCTAGACAATAAATTATATAAATGCATAACAATTAATCTGTGCTTTACTTCCACAGTTTGCCATTTGTTTTTCTTCCCACAGTTGCCAAGTGCTAGCTCTCAAGGGGTCGTCTGATTGTTGAGTCTTAACCTTACGATATAAACGCACCTTGAGGCAAATGTTTTGTGATTTGGCGCTATATAAATAAAACATGAATAGAACAACTGTAAATGAAATATTCTCATCATTCCAATTAATTATCTTGACTTGAGGTGCCCCATCCACATACCTGCTAAACACCATGGTAACAGAAGACAATGAGGAGCAGTCTTCTTGCGATTTAGGTGAAAAACACCATAGTTCAGTAGGGTGGTGTAGGTTTCAGGGTCCCAAGGCCCAACTGAATGAAACATACCGTTTTATGTGAGCTGTTGGGGGGGGGGGGTTACCAGAATGATTGAGTACGTGGTTAGCACGGACTCAAAGGTATTGAGTCTGTATTACTATATTTAATCAGGACTCTGTGCATGTTCCTATTATTTCTGGCCATTTGATAAACAAAATGTATTTCAGAGGAAATGAAACCTTTTTTTTGTAGTCATGTTTTATGTAGTGGAAGGAAGACACATCCGTCTGTATATTCCCCACATGGAACCTAAAGTTAAAGGTGAAGTAAGGGCTAGATATTTAAAAAATGAATCTGAGCACATACCATTTGGCAATATTTTAAGGAAAACTTAAAACTTCTTTTTGGGTGTGCTTTCCCCCCCCCCAAGTGTGTTACAATACTCTTCTTTGCCATCTGTGATTTAATCACACTTGTTGCTTTATTTTAAATGCCTGTCAAAGAGATTACAGTCTTTCTGATATCAGAACTCCAGGAAGCCCAGACTTAACCATTATCCCTCCAATTCCAACTGTAAATAATTAGTAAGCTTGAAACTTAAATGTCTTACACTAAATATGTAAGAATACATAAGCATTACATTTAAAATAAAAGGTCAGTAATCTCAACTGTGCTGTCATAGAGGACATGCTGATAAGTGTCCTTTATGTTCACATTTCCCAATTCTTCTTGATATCAGCTGAGCACAACTATTTTGAATTCAACAATACAAAAACTTAGGGTCAAATGTTTGGCTCCTGACTTTGCAAGCTAGTGATGCTTCAGTGTAAAGATCCTCCCTAAAACAGTATGAGGATGTGAAACAGTCAAGTATAACAGGAACGTCTGCCTAATATGTTCTTGGCTGAGCATGCTGACTCTTGCATTTGACAGACTCCGAGCCCCATGTCGAGCTATATGCTTTCCAAATGCAAAAACTGTTGCATTGTGCATTGTGATTTGTCCACTTCAGTGTAACTTATATGGAGTGTGCAAACACTGTCCATTCAGCCTCAAAAGTGAAAGGCACAGCTCTTCCTTGTTCCTGGAGTGTGTCAAATAACTTTTTGCAAGTTTTACAAGGAAAAAGTGGTTCTTTTGTTTCGCAATTTCAGGTCAGAAGCCGCTGCTGAAAGTGTGCTGAAAGTGTAGTAAATTTGGGATTTGTAATACGGGGGATATGTGAATAAAAATGCACAATTATAAAGTTTTATAGTTATTAATAGAGGTGTGAGCCATTATACACATGCAGAAAATGCTTAAGTTTCTTTGGACTTGACGTGTGACTCTTTAATTACTTAATGTGGGTTTAAACAACTTTTTAATTCTGTCACACGCAATAGCAATGTGTGTGGACTGTTATGGGTGCACAGATACCTAACCCCCTGTGACATATAAGTACCATTAGTACCAAATATATTTTCTTAAAATCAGAAGTCTTTGAGCTCTAGTAAAATGTATTCACGTTGCAAAAAGAAGGTTAAGTCTGATAAATACCCTTAAACAAAGAAGATACAGCACCTATAAAGTGCTGTTATCGTGCTAAAAAGAGCCTTGGAGGTTTGTTTTATTATCCAAGGGTCCTCCTCGGTGCCGTTATGCTTACACCTGGTGCAGACTTACCTTTTTAACCGGTTTGTGAGTGGGCACAGCGCTGAAGACAGTCGACAGCTCTCCCATGGTTATTTCGCTGTTTTTGCTCACGGTCATGGCTGAATATTTTTCCGCTACGTTCTCGCTCTCCTTCACCTCTTTGCTCGCTTGCTTCACCTCCAGCTTCGCCTCTCCGACCGGTTCGGACATCTCGCTGCTGGCTTATCTATCTTTACCCGGACAGAAATACAACAACCAACCGTTGAGTCTTCTCTAACGTCAGAGGCTAGCGTTATGTTATGGGTGTCCTCGAACTGCTAGCTGGTTACGTCGCAACTGCTGACGGATAAGAGGCTGTCAGATTGCGAGCACGTGAAAGCAGGCAATAAACGCAGGATTTAAGCAGGTGGTTTTGGCTAGTCGACTTTGATTTGGTTGTGAATCGTTACGTAGTCGACTTCCTAACGCAGGCGGGACGTGGTCCGTGCTGTTTCCCGGCTGGCTCTCCTGTCACCTGGCTGACCAACTTTGTGGGCGGTTACTAACAGACTGAGTGGGCGGCTCGCGTGTTAAGCTACGTTCAGGGTAACTGGGATAGCACGTAACGAACGATGAACACGTCCTTTAATTTATATTTTAATGTATATATATATTGCCCTTTTGGCCAAATTTGACATATTAGATCCCGTTATAGTATAGTACTTTCGGTTTTGTGAGATATGGCGGACGTATGTAACTTTAACTTTACAGTTACAGTTTCCCCCACATTTTAGTCGTAGTCTAAGCAGGAAGTATGTCCCAATTCCACACTGTAAATAAACACAGTGTGTACTCATTTGTTTTGGCAGGGAGTAAAGCAGCCTTTGTACTCAGGAAATTGGACGTGTATCAGTTATACGTGGATCAAGCTATTATTTTGGAAAACCACTGGCAGAAAAAACTTAGAAAAATCTTGCCAAGAAAATACAACCATAACACGTTGTATTTATTATTTTTCCACTTCTTTTCTGTGATACTGCGAATGAAGTTATCTTATTAGCCACAACTCACTGTTTTCAAAAACAGAAAAAAATCTGTTTTCCAGTATGCATTACATTTGTACATTAGTATCTCAGTAATAATATGGTAGGAGTGAAGGATGGGTTTAAGGTGGGTGGGTGATTACATCAGAGGATCGGCAATGTAGTCCTTTCTTGTTTGGAGGGGTGATGGACAGGCTAACAGATGAGGTCAGACAGGAGTCTATGTGGACTATAATGTTTGTAGACAACATTGTAATCACTAGTGAGGGTAGGGAGCTGGTGGAAGAGGTTTGGACACAAAGTTAGAGAAGCAAGGCTGAGATGGATTGGACGTGGGATAGGTGGGATAGTGAATATATTTTACAAGGGATGTTGAAGATGAAGGTGCAACGCAGTAGAAAAAGAGAAAGACCACAGATAAGATTCATGGATGTAGTGAAGTAGGGCATGATGAGGGCTGGAGGCCAGGGATAGGGTGAAATGGAGACAGATGACCAGATGACCACTGTGGCGGAGACCCCTAAGGGAGTAACCGAGAGAACAGTCCTAAAATGCTTTATTGTACAGAGTACAATTTATTTATACCTTTATTAGTTCAAATATCTCTATTTCTCTTAATATCATTTGAAGAAATACTTTACATCAATTTAACTATGCTATGTAACTCGTTAGTATCATAATTTTTCCTTGAGCTCTGGTAAATGTATTCACACTGTAAACAAAACATTCCTCTGAAGGTCATGTACAAGGACTGGAGTGAAAAGGCAGCCAAAACTTGGACAACTGTTGTTCGGGAGGGGGGGGCAAAGGAAGGAGGCGACATTAAACCCGCCCTCTCGAAAGTGGCATCCTGTTAATCCACTGACGTCACGCCATTTTCCACCGAAGACGAAAAGGCACAATTTAGCCGCATCACAATCGATAATCTGAGCTGATATTTACACCTAAAACGGTAGCGTTTCAATGTATTGCGTTGTTATATGTTTGTAAAACGACCTGTTGTGAGTTTACTTCACATATGTGAATGTATAGTATAAATTTCTGCGGCTGCTAGCAGAGTGCTGCTACCGCTGAGTAGGCCTCGGTAGGCGGCAGCCATTTTAGCTCCCTGTAAATAAGCTGTTAGCCTCGAAACACAATGCAGCGTCGAATATGCAACAATATAGTTGGAGATATAAAGCAAACGAGTTAACTAAGGCATTTGGGATTCGCTTCGTCTGGCTGTCTGTTTTTGTTTGTTTGTTTTTTAAGTTTCCGTTAGCATAACCTGCAAATCCAGCGCAGAAAGTAGGCCAAGCTCTCAATTCGTTTGTGAGTAAATGGCTAAGTGAGAGAGAGTGTGACCAGTCTTTGTAGTGTATGTAGTGTAAAGCGCTTTGGGGTCCATAGGGACTAAGTAAAGCGCTATACAAATACAGGCCATTTACCAGTCTTTGTCTTAGAGCTAAAACATTAATATTATTCTGCTCACTTTTCAGATACAGTCATGCATCGTGACTGTCCCCTTGACTGCAAGGTCTACGTTGGAAATCTCGGCAACAATGGAAACAAGACAGAGTTAGAAAGAGCATTTGGCTACTATGGTCCTCTCCGGAGTGTTTGGGTGGCCAGGAACCCCCCAGGCTTCGCCTTTGTAGAGTTCGAAGATCCCAGAGATGCAACTGATGCCGTGCGGGAGCTTGATGGAAGGTAGATGGCAACCTATGCAAATCAGTTTATGCATGCTCAATTATCCAGGTCAGGAAAGTGGATTCTGTTTATCTGCACATGACGTTTTCAGTAGAAGATGATGAAACGTTTCTCCTACTGAAAACGCTGCATCCACATGAGTAGTCTACTTAAATGAAGGTATTGCTATTGGATCGGTACTACTCTTTCCTCCAAGTTCCTGACATTGCTCCCATTCTGCAGAAAGGAGAGTTCCTCTCATGCAGTCACACTTTTAACAATGATAACATGTTATTGGTCATCACATCTGTTACATTAGCAGACATTTAGACTACATTTAGACATTCAAATGATATATTCAGCCCACTGAAGTGTGCTAAGTAAGTCATTTTATTGGAAAAACGAGGAAAAATACTTTCTATTCATGTGTTTGTTTGTTTGTTTTTTGTTTGTTTTTCTTTTGCAGGACTTTGTGTGGCTGTCGGGTGCGTGTGGAGTTATCTACTGGCGAGAAGCGTAGCCGCACTCGAGGCGCTCCCCCTTCATGGAGCAGGCGTCCTAGAGACCGAGACGACTACAGGCGGCGTAGCCCACCACCCAGACGCAGGTGACCTACATGTTGTTGTTGGCCAGTAGACACGATAACCAATCTATTCTGCACTTTATTCTTGCTTGGTCACTTACCGGTTCAACTTTCTTGCCCACAGTACAGTTCCCTTTAATTGCATTTGGGTTTCCAGTGTAGGTATTTCTAGTGTTTGTGACCTTTTTCTGGTGATTATATATTTGTGGGTGTTGCAATGCCTAAGACTTGCAGATTCATCTTCATTGACATTAAAGGTCATTTTATGGAAGGAGCCACACAGATAGTCATTCACCATCATGTAGTGGAAAAGGGGCATTATTTCAGAATATAGAGAGGGCTGCCTTTCTGTTTCTGAGGCATCTAAAGTGTGGTCTGCAAGACCTAGGTTATACTTAAGGCACAAATGCTTCCTTTGAAACGCACATTTTTGTGCAGTCTCATTTTAACTGTTTTAAAAAGGCAAAAATGGGTGTGGGGAAACAGATTTAGGCAGTCAGTAAAAGTATAGGCTAAGTATAAGTATACATTTTGGGGGGAATAAAAGTGCCAAATGTGATGCAATTTTTTTTCTTTTTGTTTGAGGATGCTTTTTATTTTTCATCTATATTAATAAGAATGAACCCGTTGCAGAGCCACCACCATGCCTCTTCTCACCACCCTCTGAGTCAATCAACTAGTCCTCTTTCAGCATCATGTGACTGCTGATCATCGGGCCGCAATCAGCTTGGCTGGTGCTGTCACATGACCCAGGCATGGCCAGTCGTCAGGTTGCACCAGCCCATTGGTTCCTCAGCATGCCGTTCTCAACCTCCTCCTCCTTCAACCTTAACCCAAACGGCAGCGGCCACCTCACATTCCCGACCAATCAGCGTATTACGTTCCCAAATGTCTACAACCTACCAGCAGCAGCCTTCGGCTAACCAATTAAAGCAGGAAAAAAGCCACAGCCAGCCCCCATCTGCCTGCCACCTAATCACCTTGCAGCATCTGGCCAGTCCTATTCAGCCAATTCTACCCACCCGGCCGACAGTCTGCCTCCCTTTCGTCATTTCTAGCTTGTTGAAAACCAAAAATACTAGTAAGTTTTCCTGCTTCATTCAGTACACTGCTGATTACAGTTTTAAAAGTGAAGAGACAGCTGGTTTAAAAGGGTTGTTCTTTTTTTTAAATTATTATTATTTTAATCATAAGTTTGTCATTTTGTCGTCCACCATTTCTGTAGTCCTTGTTTCAAAGGGGGATGGACCAACATCAAATATCTGGAACGTCATGTTTCCAGAGATTTCGATGATAGATAATCATCTGGTATGTCTTGGGGCTCTGAGCAGAATTATGAAGTCACATCAAAACTTTCCTTAAACACCCCCTATGAATATCAGATCTTTGTGTGTGTGTGTGTGTGTGTGTTCCCGGTTTGAGATCTTAGCCTGGCTGTTTCACGAGGCTTATTCCCTGTGAAAAATAAATTTTGGTACCAACTTCCATTTCTGTACATTTTTCCCTTAAAGTGCAGTGGACTGAATTCATACAGATGGTGGCCCAAATGGTGTGCTGGGTTTTTGATTCCCCACATCAGAGCCGATCCACAGTACGATATCAAACTACCTAAGATGAAAATCCTGCTGGGGTTTCATGCCTCGGCGCTCTGAACCTACTGCTTATGAATCACGGGACGAATCCTAATCTGCATTTCAAAGTTAGACTGAAATATAATTGGACTTTATTGAAAGGTGCATGTGTTACTGTGGGAAAGGTGAGAGGTGGTTTCCTCTGCACCTGCCATCTTTATGTGCTGGGTCCACTGCCAGTGACTTCTGTTTTCTGGTTGAAGTCTTTGTTTTCCTTGGAAAAACATGCAAGTCGTTTACTTCCATTTTGAGTTCTTGAAATAGCCAAAGGGCTGTGCTGAGGGAGCCCCGTGTAAGAAAAGGAGTAAATAATGTGGAGTTCTACACAGTGATCAATCTATCTGTCTTCGTCCTTAACACGTTTGTATTTTCCCTGCGCAGATCCCCACGCAGGAGGAGCTTCAGCCGCAGCCGTAGCAGGCAAGTCATCTTTCACGCTGCATGAGATTAACTCTATAATTTCAGCATTGTGTATGCATGTGTTTTATTTGTAGCATACAAATGTGATGCAGAAGTGTTGCACTAAACCTGACCTGCGTGGAAGCTGAAATGTTTTTTGCATAGGTGCTTGTTTAACTTTACAGCCTGTTTGAACCTTTGTTGCTGTTTCTGTGGTGATGCAGTGTAAGCTCTGCGCTAATTGATATGTGGAAGGCAAAGTGGAGTCGGCTTACACTAAGTGAAAACTGAGTGTGTACATATGCACACTTAATATATT